GCCAGACTTCGCACGGTCGTGCACAATGAATTTTCGGCCGTGATGAATTCTGCGAGAGAGCTTCACGGCCACTCTCTCGGTATGCATGGGCCGTGCAATGGTCGTGCACTCCCCTGGCGGAACTAATTCAAACGGCGCGATTTGGGGTGCACGGGAAGCCAAGGATGTTGCACGGCCTTGCGGTCTGGGCGTGCAATCGCGAACAACTGCATCTTAACCCAATTTCGGGTTTTGGAGAGGGGATACGACCTTTTAGAGAAAAAACAGAGTTCTAGAGAGAGAAAGTGTGAAGAACAAACCCTAGGAGCTATTTGGAGTGGATTTCTCACCATTGAAGCCCAGATTGCATCCCCAAGAGCGGAGATTGATATCCCAGAGAGGATTATTCTCATCTTTATGAGTATGTCTGCTTTGATTTCTATTTTCCTCTCTCTCTCTCTCTCTCTCTCTCTCTATGGAGTAGACCTTTCTCTCACTTGGGTATGAAACACTAGTTCCATGTGTTAGGGATCTTGATTGTAATGACTTTTGGATTGATATACTGATTGATTTCATTCGATTGAAGTGTGTTTATTGAGTCAATCAAATCCTGATCAACTTCTTTTGATTTCTGCTGCAACCTGAGATAGATAGAATCTGATTAGGTTGTTAGAGCTTCTTCAATTGATAGGAGTGAATTGCTTGTACGAGAGTCAGTCAATTCACTACTTTGTACTGGAATCTGTTTCCAGTAGTGGAGTTCTATGTTAATTGTCTTAGCTTTCTATCCGGCGAACACTAGTCATCTGTTGGTTAGTCTGTCTAAGAGGGCTTGGTCAGGTTAAGAGATTCCAAGCTACTGTCGGATCTTCCACAGTTTAATCAATAGTAAATCAACCAAAGGAAATTACAACTTAGAGATAACTAGGAAGCATGGGGGACTCAATCTTGAGTGACTCTTCCCTTGCTTAAGAACTTCGAACAATTTGATATTTTCTTTCTATTTAGTTTGAATTCACCTTCACTCACTTAATCCCGCTAGATAATAGAATTTCACGGAGTAGACAGTAGATCTAGACCCCGGGTTGATAAATTAAACTTACCCACTATTCTTCATTTCCAGACTGCGATTATACTTGGTCGTGGTTTGGTGTTGTATTTTAGCGTGTCAAGCACCATCTTTACAAGTTCCCTTTCCTATTTACCACACACCTCCTCAGTTTCATTCATCCATAGATGAAGGGGGGCACGCTAAGCATGAGGCAACTCCAGCCATTCCTACTTCTGACTCCATTGAGCACTACACTTATTTTGACTCCGATGCACTAGAATTACATCCCCAAGCTGATATTGACCTAGATTATCCTAGCACAGAAGCCAATAAAAGGCCTCCAAGGCACATAAAATTGCCAACCAAATATGGTGACTATGAACTTGAGTCATCTCTCAAATTTGGAGCATTTGGAGGTGCAAACTCTTGCACCAGGCATCCAGTTTGTTTGAGTGTCAATACATTAAGCAAAGAAGATTTTTGTTATGCACTGAATGTTCTCAATCTAGTGGAACCTAAGTCTTACTATGAGGCACTGAAATAAGATGTTTGGAACAAGGCTATGAAGGAGGAAATGAATGCTTTAGAAGAGAATCAAACCTGGGACATAGTGCCTTTGCCTCCACATGTGAAAGAGATTGGGAACAAGTGGGTTTATAAGATTAAACTCCACCAAGATGGATCTTTGGAAAGGAACAAAGCCAGACTGGTAGCTAAGGAGGATACACAAGTCTATGAAATTGATTTCCAAGACACATACTCACCTGTGGCCAACATCAACACAGTGAAAACCTTAATGGCAATCGCAAGTGTGAAACACTGGGTACTAGAGCAGTTGGATGTCTCCAATGCTTTTTTACATGGAGATTTGGATGAAGTGGTTTACATGAAGTTGCCTCTAGGGCTGGAAGTGACTTCAGGAAGCAATCAAAGGATGACTTGTAGATTGAAGAAGTCAATATATGGCCTTAAACATGCATCAAGGCAATGATTTGCAAAGTTAACAGGTTTCCTATTGAAGTTTGGTTTTCCACAATCTGCATCAGATTATTCACTCTTCACTAAGTGGACTCATGGTAAAATCACAGTGTTGTTAGTCTATGTAGATGATATTATACCGGGAGGAGATTCAAGAAAGGATATTGAACAAGTGAAAACAGCCCTTCGCAAGGAGTTTAAGATCAAACTCCTTGGACCACTTAGTACTTCTTGGGTTTAGAAGTGATAGAAATGAGAATGTTTTAGATGTATGTCAAAGGAAATATTGTATTGAGTTGTTGAAAGACACAAGGTACCTGGAGTCAAAGGGTTGTAAAACACCATTAGACACCAAGGTGAAGCTGACATCTCAGGGGACTCCACTTGAAGATGCAAAAGGCTACAAACGTTTGGTTGGCAGGCTGCACTACCTGACCTTTACCAGACCAGACATAGCATTTGATGTTCAGCAGCTATGTTAGTTCCAGAAGTCTCCTTGTGCGGTTGCTTACAGGGTTCTCGTGTATTTGAAGTCCTCACCGGACCAGGGGATCCATTTTAGTAATGAGGCTGAGTTAAAGATGACTGGATATAGTGACTCAGATTGGGAAAGTTTCCCTGACACAAGAAGATCCATCACTGGATACTACACTATGCTTGGTTCTTCCTTACTGACATGGAAAACGTGGAAACAAACCACTATCTCAAGATGAGATTCTGAAGCAGAATATAGAGCATTAGCTCATCTTATTTGTGAAGTGGAATGGCTTAAGAGATTGTTTTCTGAACTAACAATAGAGGTGTCCTTACCTATAACAGTCTATTGGGATAATAGGTCTGCTATCCATATAGTAGAGAACCCAGTCTTCCATGAGAGGACAAAGCATATCGAGATTGAAATGCATGTGACAAGGGAGAGGATTCAGATTGGTTTGATTAAGTTGAAGTATATTAACACTGTTGAACAGCTTGCAGATATCTTTACTAAGGGACTGGATTGTTTCAGGCTGAAAGAGTTACTTGTCAAGTTGGGGATCAAGTTGATACCACCAACTTGAGGGGGCTGACAGAATCGAAGGACAACAGAAGAACAATTACAGAGAAGAGTTGAGAAAAGTTGCAGAGATGGAGAATCCAGGTTGCAGAAGGATTCCTAGAATAGAGGAGACGAAAAGAAGAAACGACAGCGTGTTGGCTTGACGACACCATTTAGCTTATTTTGTATTAGTCGTTAAACGTTACTATTAATTTGATTTTGGACCAATCTTGTAAAGACACCTGTTAAGTTGAAGGAAGACTCAGAGTTAGCTGAGCTTCTTCTCCAATCCTTCTTCTCAAATTGTTAGAAGCAGTCTTGTTTAATTATATTGTGTTTTATTAAAGGTATTTGACAAAAAAAAAAAAAAATTAAAAATCTGAATACAAACGTTGTCATAAAAAATAGCTAATTAATGGCCCAAGTTCCGTCAGTACTATGGTTAGTTACAAAATCTCAGCATCAGATTTAAGTGGGTCAAGAAAATCTAGATCTAATGGTGGAGAATCAAAGACATTTTTATTTTCCCTTGTTTTCTTAATCGGCTCATATCTTCTTCGTTTAACTCAAATTTTAATTATTCTTTTTTTGCACAGATGGAACAAGTTCGTTGTGCTCTACAAAATGAGATCCATTTTCAATATTTTTTGAGAATTTTTTTTCTTGTCTTTCGTTACCAACTGCATACCATATTGTATCTTCTTTGTTTTTAAGTCGTTTTAGAAAATTTTTGCACATAAGAAGTTCTTGATGATCTATTAGATCTACAGATTTCTGGGTGAACTAAATACATGACAAAAAAATACCACACAATTCCCCTGGTATGGGGTGGTATCTTGTGGTACACAATATTGAAAGTCGTAAATGACAGTTAGTAAATACCTATTATCATGTATTTAATCATCCTACAGTATTTGTATGTTCATACTACCATGATAAGTTTTTTCATACCATATGGTATATTCTTATTTAATACTATAAAAATGGCAAAAATTAGGTTTGGTGGGGATCGAATTACGATCTTAAAAGTTGAAAAGATGTAATCAATCATATTAATATGGATTGAGGGTCAATATAATTCGGATCATTTTGAGAATTATTCATTGATAGGTGCTTGCACGTGATTAATGAGTTGCAAAATTCAAATTCTCTACCCACCAAACCTATTGCCATATTATTCTCTACCGTTTGCTACAAAAGTCAATTTTTGCTTGGGAATTTTGGTTCATATTTGGCCTACTTTTGGCTCTGGGTTCGTCCCTTTTGATTTTTGCCGCGGTTGAAGGCGGGAAATAAAAGAAGAAAAAGCAGCCAAAATTCAAACGAAACAAACACGGCGTCGGAACTCCGGGAGAACCATACAGCCGACTGAGAAAAGGAAAACCAAGCGAAAAAAACTATAGAAAACTGAGAAAAGGAAAACCAAGCGAAAAAAACTATAGAAATGGACAAGGTAGCTATATCTAGGAGAAACTATGCATGCTAATGCGTTAGTTGAGTATGCAATCATCCTTTATACTTGTCTCCTCTCTCTCTCACTCGCACATTTTTAAAATTCTTCTTTTGCAGCTTCTTCTGGAGTTGCTCAGCCTATCTACTGCTAACATATTGTCTTTAACAAAAGGTTTAATACACTTGTATATCCAAAACTTTCACGGTTGTGCCAATAATATCCAAATTTCCCGGAATACCACTTATATCCATGTTTTAAAGTTGTTCTTTACCAAATCTATCAATTTCCCAATATATTTTTGGTTAAATAAACTTGTATATCCAAAAACACCGTTAAAGAATGTGAAGGAATTGGATATAAGTGGTATTTCGGGAAATTTGGATATTATTGGCACAACCGTGAAAATTTTGGATATACAAGTGTATTTAACCTTAACAAAATATCCACTTCTCAGCAGCAAGGAATTAGTAGACGTTGAGAAATTCATTCTGGAGCTGCTAAATATGATAAAATATGTGGTAGTTGAGATTAAGGTAACCCAACCTTCTCTATAAAGATTTCTGTCATTGGGAATGTTGTTTGTCAAATGGGAAGCCAGATTGTCACCAAACGTAATAGGCCACTTTCATTATTTCTTATCCATAACTCTGTTATTGACTATTGCTGATCTACTTTTTCCTTTTGCTAAGCAGAGGATTAATTCATTGGGTTCTGAAGTACTAAAGGTTGCACAAACATCAATTGATGCTTTGATAAATATGTGCAAGAGGTATTTCCAAATTATCAATGAGAATCTATGTGATGCAAGTCTTAAAGATTCTAGTGCCACTGCACCGGAAGTGGTCAGTGTAAAAGATCATGTTCTAAGTATCACAAAATATATGGTTGAAAAATTGTGTGAATTGGGGAGCCTAGCTGCAAGTGATGGTGGAAGCCTGGTCACCATTCTCAATGTGTCTTGGAAAGGTGTGGTTACTCTGCTTCAGTTGGGCAAGGAAGTAATAATGCAGACAGTAAATGTGCAAGACATCATTAGGACATTAATATCACTGGTAAATGGGCATCTTAAATGCGCAACTAAGGCCTGGTCTTCCGCATAAGAAACTATTTCTATTGCAGAATCAAGAAGGACTTTTCTTCCGGTGAAGTCTTACCTTCTTAATGCAGCTAAAAATATCATCACTCTATCCATGCCAAGCATGTCTTGTTTTATAGAGAAATACTGTTCTGCATTCTACTTATCTCAACCTTCATAACTTCACTGAGCTATGAGAAAAATTTGGACAATGCTAGTGAAGTCTGCTCAGAACTTTTAGATAAGACATCCTTGCATCTTCTTATTTCTATATTGATTTCAGCTGAAGTGAACCCAGATCTCAGGTTTGAAGTTCTGAATTGGTTATTCACCAATGAATGTGGCACGCTTCCGAGGAAATAGATTCAAATTCTAGCTACAACATAGGTTCAATGACTGAAATATTGTCTCCCAGTTGCGAAGCTGTGCCCAGGTCATCACTGCTGCTACTTGGTCGTGTTGCACTGTTCAATTCATTGCTTAGCCACTCTGCTGGTTTTGACGAAGATGTGAAGATCAAAAGCACTAGAAAACTAGGATGGTTCTTGGATGTTATGGTCAACGAGGACATTTACTCTTGTGTTCTTATCTTGCAAATTCCGGTACTACATGGTGTTGGGCAAAAGTTGGAATTGGATTTTGGCAGCCCATATTTTCTGCTCTTTTAGATTCAATGAAAACTTTTATGATTGTTTCATATTCAAGTGTTGCTTGGGAGGAATTGGAGGATTTCTTGCTGGAGAGTATTTGTCATCCTTATTTTCTTCGTTGGGAAATCATAATGGAGCTATGGTGCTTCGTGGTTCGCTATGCTGAAGAAGAAGTTGCAAAAGCTCTTATTTATAAACTTTTTGTTGTAATGAAGCTGATAGCAGATCCTGCATTAGTTATTCTTCCTACGCCTCTGCTGAGAAGGCTTGCAAGAGCAGTCTGTTTGCTTCTTACAAATAGTACAGCTTCAACAGTAGACCATGCTTACAGTTTTATGGTTGATACTGGATCACATTCATCAATGGTCATATATTCAGCATTGCTCTTGGAAGGTTTTCCTCTAAATCTACTGTTGGAGAATGTAAGATCTAAGGCCAAGCAGAAAATTATGACAGATTATTTTGGATTCATAGAGAGTTTTGATGAAAGCCTACTGCCAGTTAGCAGTCCTAACTCGTTTGGAACATCAGTGATTGCTATATGTGCTTCTTCGCTTCTTTTCTGTCATTATATGAAGTTTTAATAGTACTAGCCTTCTCAGGATCCAGATAGTTTCTGCCTCAAGTCTGCTGTCGTTATTAACCCTTTTGATTTATGAATTGTGATAGATGCCTCGTGTTCAGATTGATTCAGTGTTACGCATGATAACTATTGACTGAACTTCTCTTTCTTGTAGGCAGATTAGCATATCTGATGTTGACTTGAAGACCCTGAAGTTTATAATTAATATTATTCAGAACTTGAAGCATCCCAAAGGTGAATCAATGAAGGAATGGTGTCTTATGCTCTTGAATGTAACATTAGAAATTGTCTCAGTGATGAAGCACCTATATCAATCAGATGAGATGGAGAAAGTTATAGAACTCCACGGTATTTTTATCTCTGGTCCGACAGCTTCAGATTCTTGCTTGTACCAGTGTAAACTGAAAGTGTTTCGGGAAATCTGATCTCTCCTTGTATTATTGATATGTATATATATACACTGAGAACCCTTAACCGAAAGCTATTCCTAAGCAAAGTAGTGACCACTAACGTAAACTAAGGAACAGAAAGGTAACAATATCAAATGGTAAGTTAGAAGAACTAGGAAGTAGTTCCGAGTATATCTCCTCCTTATCACGCCCCCGCAAGTGGAACCTCGGAGAGGTGAAACTTGGAACAGAAGCCACGGAATGCATGTCGTGTAAGAGGCTTCGCAAGAACGTTGGCAAGTTGGTCGGTGGCTGGAAGATACCGGACATGGAGCTGTTGCTTATTGACCCGATCGCGAACAAAATGAAACTCAATCTCAAGGTGCTTGGATCGTGTGTGAAATACGGGGTTGTGAGCAAGATACGTGGCTCCCAAATTGTCACACCACAGAACAGGAGAAGAGGAAGGAGATTGGCCGAGTTCCGTGAGTAGCGCCTGCAGCCAAATGACTTCTGATGCAAGAGTAGCGAGTGCCCTGTATTCACATTCCGTGGAAGACCTGGCCACCACCTTCTGTTTTCTTGTCGACCATGACACCAAATTCGAACCATGAAAAACAACAAACCCATAGATTGACTTCCGGTCTTTGGGACAAGAGGCAAAGGAAGCATCCGAGTAACCATGTAACTGTGAATGAACCGACCATTGGAAGAGTAACCCTTGAGTGATGGTACCTTGAAGATAGCGCATGATTCGTTTGACGGCTGCCCAATGCGCCTCTGTAGGTGAATGCTGGAACTGGGAGACATGATTCACCGCAAATGAGATATCCGGTCTTGTAAAACTCAAATACTGCAGACCACCAACAATACTCCTGTATAAGCTGGGATCATCAAAGGTGGGTGACAAATCAGACCCACTTGTATCAACTGATCAGGGGTACAAGGCGTGGATATTGACTTGGCTTGAGCCATTCCGGAGCGTTCAAGAAGCTCTAGAATATACTTGCGCTGATTTAGTATCAAACCAGCAGGAGTGCAATGAACCTCAAGGCCGAGGAAATATGATAGACGACCAAGATCCCGGAGCGCAAACCTAGAGCGGAGATGAACCATAAGCTGCTATATGACGGACGAATCATTACCTGTAATCACCAGGTCATCAACATAGACCAACATGTAGAGGAGAGCAGAACCATTCCTGAAAATAAAGAGTGATGGATCCGTCTGGGAGGCGACGAAGCCGAAGGCCCGAAGTGCTTGAGAGAGGCAGTGAAACCAGGCACGCGGTGCTTGACGCAATCCATAGATAGATTTGCGTAAACGGCATACATAATCAGGATGCTCGGGATCAATGAACCCAACTGGCTTACGCATATATACTTCTTCCTGAAGGGTGCCATGTAAGAAGGCATTGGAGATGTCGAGTTGGTGTAACGGCCAAGCGTTGGAGACAACAATGCCGAGGAGAAGATGAAGTGTTGCTGGTTTCAATACCGGGCTAAAGGTGTCACCAAAATCATGACCTGGAATTTGCTCAAAGCCACGAGCAACAAGGCGGGCATTTTCCCGTTCAAGATAACCGTCTGGATTAGTCTTCTCTGCAAATACCAGCAGTTAGACAACACATTACAATCAGGCGGGGCTGGTACTAAGTCCCAGGTGTGATTTCGAACTAGGGCATCAAATTCTGTGACCATTGCAGCACGCCAGCAGGGCAATTTGAGGGCTTGGGCCGCAGTGGTGGGTATACCAGAGGAGGCAGCAACAAGATATTGACGGGGCGACAATTTGCCGGTCTGAGTACGAGTGAGAATCCGCCGGGAGGAAGGGAGCGCAGGTGGTGGGACAATGCGGGGGAAGTGTTGAAGGGAGGACGATGTGCAGGTCGAGAAACAGGGGAGTTGGGGTGGTGATTTTAGGGGAGGACACTGGGTGATTGGCAGGGGAAGGAGGCTAAGGAGGGGCGGGGAGAGTGGTAGCAGGGAGAGCAGAAGGTCGAGGACGGCGGTGATATTGTAAGAGGGGCAGCGGTGGTGGATGGGGGGAGATGCGGGGCGGTGGTACTGCAACAAGGGTGGAGAAATGGATTTTGGAAGGGGGTCAGAGGAGGTGGGCTCGCTGGGTCGTACAGTGTGGGAAGGGAGAATAGGCTGAGAAGGAATGGTATTGGGATGGGTCGGGGTAGGAGAGGATATGGGCTGGGAAGGGATTGTTATGGGCTGAGAGGGAGAGGATACATGGGATGGGCTTGAGGATGATGTTGGGCCGAGGGAAGGGTCTGGGAACGGGCTGGGTAGGGTAATTGGTTCAAAGAGAAAGAGATCTGGTGGGCTAGATCCGGTTGGGTCTATAGGGGTGTCTTTGAATGGGAAAACTGATTCATCAAAAATAACATGACGACTGACATAAATATGTCCAGTAGAGCGATCAAGACACCGATAACCTTTATGTAATCTGCTATAACCCACAAAGACACAGGGAGTAGAACGAGGTTGACGTTTATGGGAAGTTTGAGGACGAAGCCAAGGATAACACAAACACCCAAAAACGCGAAGGTTTTGAAGATCCAGAGATTTATGAAACAATGTATGGAATGGAGATTGATTTTGAAGAGGAGGAGTAGGAGTGCGATTGATGAGATAACAAGCAGTATCAAACGCAAGAGTCCAATACTTGAGCGGAACATTGGCCTGATGTAACATAGCGAGACCATTATTGACAATATGGCGATGTTTCCGCTCGGCACAACCATTTTGTTTTGGGGTATAGGGACTCGAAGAATGGTGAGCAATACCATTGGCCACAAGATAAGATGACAATTTTTGATATTCACCTCCCCAATCAGATTGAAAGGTTTTAATGGGAAGGCCGAAAAATTTCTCAACAAGTTGGCGAAATTGAATGAAAACATTAAGAAGTTGAGATTTATAACGCACAAAATACACCCAGCTGAATTTGCTATAGTGATCATAGAATAGAACATAATAGGATTGATGATCGTAGGAAAGAAGAGGAGCAGGGCCCCATAGATCACTACAAATTAGTTCTAAAGGCGCAGACGCACGAAATTGGGAAGAAGAAAATGGCAATTTGTGAATCTTACTAACAGAACAACCATGACACAAGGAAGTAGAACTATCATGGTATTTTATTGAATGAGTAGACAAAAGGTGTTTAACGGCCCTGTGATGCGCATGACCCAATCGCTGATGCCAGAGATCAAGAGAGGCGGTGAATACACGAGGTAGAGTGCGACTTTGGATATGGAGAGGCAAGGAGTAGAGGCCATCACGCGCAGAACCACGATAGAGCTCATCCTTCGTGCGGCGATCCTTGATCACAAAATAGGTATAAAAAAATTCAATGGAGATGGGATTAGAACGAGTCAAAGAGCTCACAGAGAGAAGATTTTGTGGAGCATGATGAACACGAAGCATATTTTCAAGATTATAGGAACGATTAGAAAGAAGAGCATTAGAGGAACCATAATGAGTGATAGGCAGACATTTACCATCGCCAAAGGTGACTTGATCAGGACCATTGTATTCAGAATGACGAATCAGGTTACCCAAATCGGAGGTAAGATGATGATTGGCACCGGAGTCAAGGAGCCACTGGGACGAGGACTGGCAGGGTGCGAGGATTGGGCGAGATGGGATGCGGAGCCAGGTGTGTATGTGGGCTGAGCTGGGATAAACGGGCTGGGACAATTTGAGCGTATATGGCCCTTCCCCCCACAATTGTGAAAAACCATCATGGATGGGCTGGAAGGCCCAACCCCCAGCAGGCCTGAAGAAGCGGGTCGTGATCCACCAGAAATGGGCCTAGCCTACCTGCAAAAGAAGGGTTAATAAAATGGCCCGGGTTAGAAAACCCACGACCAGCAAATCGAGAGCCTCTGCCGCGAGTGAAGCGGCCGCCATTGCGCCCCCCGTGGGCAGAATAAAACGTCTGCGGTGTCGCACGGTCCACAGGGGCCGATCGGAATCTCTGCAGCTGCATCTCCTCACTAAGAAAGAGACTGCTCACATTCTCAAAAGAGATCGGCTCCACGCGCGCTTCCAAGTTGCGGATGAAGGGACGATAATCCTCGTCGAGGCCATCGAGGAGAGCAATCACCAACTCTTGTTCGGTGACAGTAGCGCCGAGAGCAAGCATCTTGTCATAGATCGCCTTCACGCGGTGGATATAGTCATGAATCGTCTCATTTCCGCAAGAGAGACGAAGGAGATTCTTGCGGAGCTGGCCAATGATGACGGGAGAGCCTGAGGCGTAGACAGTAGCGAGAGCATCCCAGGCATCACGAGCAGTAGTCTTGTTGACAATGGTGGGCATCACGGCTTCCGTCAGCGAGAGATTAATCCAGGCAAGAACGAGCTGATCATTCTCGTACCAGGTTGCATAGGCTGGATTGGGTTGACTCTCGACAGTCAATGGAGGAGAAGGAAGAGTGCCATCGATGTGCCCGATGAGCCGGTTACATTGAAGCAGAGGGTGAATCTGAGCACGCCATAGCAAGTAATTGGTGGGAGTTAATTTGACAGTGAGCTGGGGATTGGAAGGAATCAGTAGGCACTGCGGAGAGGGAGATTGGATAGACGGAGAAGAAGAATCAGAGGTAGTGGAGGAAGTAGCCATTGGAGGAAGAAGCAGAAGACAGAAAGGGAAGAAAAGAAAAGGTATGTAACTCGTTTGAGTTTATTGTGGCTCTGATACCATGAAAGTGTTTCGGGAAATCTGATCTCTCCTTGTATTATTGATATGTATATATATACACTGAGAACCCTTAACCGAAAGCTATTCCTAAGAAAAGTAGCGCCCACTAACGTAAACTAAGGAACAGAAAGGTAACAATATCAAATGGTAAGTTAGAAGAACTAGGAAGTAGTTCCGAGTATATCTCCTCCTTATCACAAACCACATCTGGCACTCTTCATGGGAGGGCTTGGGGACGTGCAGATGTCAGAAATTAATGATTGTACAAAGACCACCGCAGTGTGGGATTTATACCACATGTTGTTGAAGGAACAACACTGGGCACTCGTCCACCTTGTCATTCCATCATTTGGGTACTTTGCTGCCCATACTTCATGCAATCAACTTTGGAGAATTGTCCCACAAAATGCAGCCCTCTCGTATGACGTTATGTCAGCAAGTGAAGTATCAGAGCAGAGATTCATGTCAGAATTGAAGGCGTTCCTAGAGAAGGAAGTCGCTGTTTTAGCAATTGTCTCAGCCAGCTCCTAGCAACATGAGTTGCTTGTGAAGGAAGGAACCATACTTAGAGAAATGGTTCAGAAGGTTTCCAACATACGCGTAGAAGAGGCTACAAAATCTGAAGTCTTGTTGGGATCCAACATTGTTGACATCCAATGCAGCAAGAGAGGAAAAATTCCGATGGAATTATCAGAGGAGTTGAATTGTTACAGAACGGTCTCAAGTTCATTGGCGATGGTCTTTTTCAGTGGCAACAGAATCATAATGTTGATTCCACTGAACTTCAAGAGAAGTTCTTAGCTCACTATTCTCGGCTTGAAGATGTGGTCTCGCACCTATTAGGCTTATCTGGCAGTGGCTAAAGCTTATCATTTCCTGCTGCTCTGTCAGTGAACGGTATTCTCTCACGCGGTCTGAATTCTCAACGAAGTTCATTATATATGTATATCCTCAGTAGTAGATCACCAATGACATGTAAATGGAAGTCAATCCAGGTATGCCTAATATTCTCTTAGCCATTAACCGTAAGGCTGGTGATTTAGTCGTAGGACTTTGGAACTTGATGAACTTGTCACTTCTGTTGAATGCACTAGATCAAAACACATCTATTTCGACAATTGAAATTCATATCTTCAAATTGTCAATAGCGGTGATGTTCTCATGAACAACCAACTACAAACTTACCACGAATCTTGGTGTAAACCATTGTCTTCTAGATATTTGATTGAGCTAACCTAGGTTGTATGGTCCTTGAAATATTCCTTACTCTATAGTAATCAAGAGTATCATGTTAATATATGGTTCAGGGAAGTAACAGTTATTTTTAGAGAAACACGCCTTTACTTTTGGTGAATGACAAACACACTTTTGGTCCTAAGTACAAACCAAAAAGAGTTCATTATCTTAAAGACGAGAACAATGGACTGCTATAATGAAAGTGACAAAAGACCAGTACTGTTGTCTGGAAAAATGATTACAAGATTCGTCGGAGATATATATCCAAAGGATTTGTTCCCAAAGATAGGAATGGATTTTGCGCTCGAGTACACTATTGATTATTTTGGGATTGCAGAATAAAATCGACAAAGTTGATTGTATATTTGGTAAGTCAATGATTGTATATTTGGTAAATTGTTGACACTGTGTGGCCCATATGGATGCCTATTGGAAGAAGATTGTGGTTCATGTGGGGAAGAAACAAATTTGATAAAATGATCACGTTGGCACAAGGTACAACCCATCTTTGAGAACATGTTGATTGGCGCACAGGATTATCGGATTGCTGAGCGCCCACATACTATCTGATGGCGCTGTTCTTATGCGTGTGCGAGAATGTTCTCACGGATGGATTGCGAAGAGTGAAAGTCCTTGGGATTATTGAACGTAAATCTGTGCACGAGCCTATGCAAACAGGATTGAAAGTCGTAGATAGTTTGGTTCCTATAGACCGTGGTCAACGGGAACTTATAATCGAGGACCGACTCAACCTGATTGATCCTGTATATCACTCCGATCGATCCCCTACCAGTACCAGGCTTGCTATTCTCAAGTGGGTTTGCCCTTGGCTTAGGGGTGGGCGTTTGGTCGGTTCGATTTGAACCGAACCAAACTGGTACATGCCAAATTTCCTAAATTACACACATCCCAACCGAATTTGTACCGAGCTATAATTCGGTTCGGTTCGGTTCACCCGAACCGAATTATAGATCGGTTCGGTCCAGTTTAATGGCCAAACACGAAATTCTAGAACCAACCAACCTTGTCTCCCCAAAGAAAATCTCCGCCACACATTATCCTTCCCATCCTTTCACAACCTTATCTCCGCTCTCTTCCTCAAACCCTCGATCTCTAACTTCCATCTCCAGTCTCTCCCTCAATCTCCGACTACCCCCAACTCTTACTCTACAAGCGTCACATCTCCCTCTCCTCTCCCTCAATCTCCGACTCCCCCCAACTCTCAACTCGATCATCCACTCCTCTCCCTCTCTCCCAGAATCCCCCAACTCGACCAACAACCATCGTCTCTTCTCCCCGACTCCCTGACTCCGCTATCCCCCAAATCGATCGACGACCATAGTCTCTTCTCCCCGGCTCCTTGACTCCCCCAATCTCGACCATCATCCTCTACCTATCAGACCCAGAACACTCCAAGTCTGCACAAGTCATGCCACATGCAAAACCAAGACTCAGAGTGTCTTCTTCACTTGTTGTTGGCAAAGCGATTGAAGGGAGGCAGGTCGGAGATGGCCGCTCAGGCCGCCACTGGTCACTGGATTTGATGAAGCGAAGTTTTGTGGTGGTTGGAGAAGGTTGGCTGGCGGACGGCAGTTGCTGAGAAGGTGAGAGGCGAGGGTTGAGTCAGAGGCTAGAGGGGAGAGGGTTGTGGGCTGTAGGAGTTAGGGTTTTAGTTGGGCTTAGTGGGTTAGGTTTCTTTTGGGCTTAGTGGGTTTCATTTGGGCTTAGGGTGTTGGGGAATATGGATGGGTGTTGGGCTTATTTAGTATATTTCGGTTTTTTTGTCGGAATTTTGGAATCTCGCTTCGGTCGAAAGGACCCTGTTTTCCGAACTATCCAGATTTCCCTTCCAATTTCCGAACCGAATAGTAGTATTTCGGTTTCGGTTCGGTCGAGTTTGGTTTCGATCCAGTTCGGTTCGGGTTTACAGAACCAGATGCCCACCCCTACTTTGGCTTAATGTGATAGGGGTGCCCACCGCCCACCGGTTGTTTATGGCTTTTCCATTGAGTGTCTTTGAGTTCGCCGTAATTGGATCAGAGAAGAATCTGAATTGTCCATTTCTTTACAATTCATGGTGGCCTAGCCTGTCGAATAAACAAGGTCTCCATACTTATAAATGTTGAACAATAGAATCTTTATCGAGCCCCCACAAATCCCTAGTTGCTCCAAGTTGCCACAGTGGCTAGCACCAATGATCACTTTGTTGAGACGGCAAAAAGCTTGGGAAGGCTCTCAGAAACAATCATGGCTTACAGCACAAACATACATACACTAAATTATCTTTCAAATTAGAATGGCTGCGATCCAATTGAGTACTGGAACCCACTCAGGCCAACTTTAAGCAGCACCCAAATCATCAAATTGACCAAAATTGGACAGCAAAAAGTAGAAGCCAACCGAATCAATCATATAATTTGCTGGCAGTGAATAAGGCATAGACTAATGCAAGTTGCATTCATGACCAGAGTCTCGTTTTGGATCTGTGTACTGAAACGTACCTTTTTTGTTCCTCCAATATATATTTAACCATGGCATTGGCATGCAGACTGCAGAGCCACAACGAAGGGACACTGGCCTTTATAAGAGGAGACAAAAGAGAGAGAAAGCTTATCACATTTCCTTTCAAACAGCATGAGATCTGCCACCAAAATTCTTTTGCTGATCCTCTGCTTGCCACTGGGTATCATGTTCATGTCGACATACAACGAATAATTAGGATACAACGTGGGGCAGGGGACGCAGGAGTTTGATGTTCGTATGATCAACGGCTTCACTAGCAACTCATCACTTCCCCTGATCATATGGTGCTCCTCTGGGGACAGTATCGTTGATCTGGGCGGGAGAGCACTCCAGGAAGGTGACGATTTTGGCTGGAGCTTGAAGACGAAGCTCTAAAGCAGCAGCAACATGTTCTTGTGTACCATGAAGTGGGATGCGAAGAGAAGGAAGTTCGACGCGTTTAAGGCTCCCAGGGACGTTCGCAGGTGCAGCCCTCTGAGGAAGTGTTCTTGGCTGGTCAGGGAGGATGGCTTCTACTTCAGTAACGACGAAGTGAATTGGAAGAAAGACTTCTCTTGGTCGTAGCTAGTTAGCAGTTAATGTTCTTTCATTTTACTTTTTTGTTGTGGGTTGTTTTGCTGTTGAGCCAATCGACATGGGAGGCAAACTCCATGATTGAGATGGATCAATCCTTTATACTGTTTCTACCCCTTGATATCTTTTTTTTTTTCATAGGAAATGATAGACCGTTAATTACACATGTTTTTACCCCTGTTCTTACACCGTTTGAGATGTGATTTCTCGTGTTTTGGGCCGATTTCAGGCTAGGTTGTGCTTGTTTGTGATATTTCAGGTCCTAGTACGTGAATGGAGGCTTGGGAGCGAGTTTGGGGTCGATTGGACGAAGTTCGGGCGCGAGGCAAGTCACAAAGGAGGCCACACGGGCACACCCACAACCCACACGGCCGTGCAAGTGACCACTTTGGCCGTGTGAGATTGTGCGAGAGAAAACACGGCTTGCCCTGATTTTCACACGTCCGTGTGAAGGAGTGGTTTGGCCGTGCGAGTTTCGCCGAGAGCAAACACGGGCAGATGGAAATCCCACACGGCCGTGCGACCCTGGCCGTGTGAGAAGCCTGAAGATCGAACTAATTGGAACGCAGCGTTTTGACTCACACGGGAAACTGGGTATGCCACACGGCTGTGTGGCCCAACCCGTGTGAGTCGGGAATTCCTGGTTTTAACCCAATTTTGGGCTGCAAGAGAGGAAATCGGACTTTTTGAGCAAAAACAGAGCCCTAGAGAGAGAAAGGACGAAGAACACATCCTAGAAGCTATCTTGGAGCTGGGTTTCATCAAATCAAGCCTGGAGATCATCATAGGAGTGGAAATCATCATCCCAGAGCATATTCTTCCCATAATTATGAGTATGACTGCTTTGTATCTTGTTTTCCTCTCTCTCTCTATGGAGTAGAACCCCTCTCTCACTTGGGGATGAAGAACCCTAGTTCTATGTGTTAGGGATTGATTGAAATGACTTGGGATGATATTACTGTTTGATTTTAATCGAATGATGCATGTTTATTGAGTCAATTGAAGTCTGATCAACTTTTCCTGATTCCTGCTGCAATCTGAGATAGATAGAATCTGATTAGGTTGCTAGAGTATCATCATTCGATAGTAGGAGATTGGCTATACGAGAGTTAGCCAGTTTACTGCTTTGTACTGGAATCTAATTCCAGTAGTGGAGTTCTGTTCTTAGTGCTTCAGCTTTCTATCCCGGTGAAGACTAGTCGTCTGCCGGGTAGATAGACTGAGAGGGCTTGGTCAGCTTAAGAGATTCCAAGCTACTGTCGGATCTTCCGCAGTCTAATCAACAGTAAATCAACCCAGGGAAATACAATTGAAACCTAACTAAGGAGCTAGGAGGACTCATTCCCGAGTGACTCTTACCTGCTTGAGAAAACCGTATCAATTCTTGCTTTCTTTATGCTTTTTGCTTTTAAACAACAATCACTTACTTTAGTTGGCTAGATAATAGAGAATCACTGAGTAAGCAGTAGACCTAGACCCCGGGTTGATAATATTACTTGTCACTTTACTGCATTCCCGGTCTGCGATTACACTTGGTCGCAGATTGGTGTTGTGTTTTGGCGTGTCAAGTTTTTGGCGCCGTTGCCGGGGACCCTCTAGGTTATTGGGGAAACGTGAGAATTTGTTACTCTAGCTTTTTCTTTATTGCATTTTATCTCTTCCACCTGTGTGCCTTCACGGGTTGTTTCTGCTGATTGTGTGCAGGTAGTGCATGACCCGTAGCCAGTCGGGAGATCTACTACCACTAGACCAGGAGCTTGAACGAACCTGCAGAAACTTCAAGCGGGCTCTAAAGGTGCGACTGGCTGCGGAGGAGGCGCTAGCACAGTACAGATCACTAAAGAAGAGGAGATGGCTGATCCACAGGGCCATGCTGTGGTCGATCCCGAGGAGCAGACCATGGGACATTACTGGACCGCCAGGGCTGCAGACATGAGGTCACCCATTCAACACCCTCATGTCCCAGCCAATAATTTTGAGGTGAGCACCTCAGTAATCACCATGCTGCGCGGTTCGGTGATGTTCCGTGGCAAAGAGGGGGAGTGCCCCCGATCACATCTCAGGCGATTCCACAAGCTCATCGATGGAATAAAGATCAACGGGGTCGAGACGGCGGAGAACGGGTACGATTGGGGCACTACCAGGAGATCGAGACGAGCACCAGGCCGGGGTGTGCATGCTGTGGGCACCCAGTCATCTGATTTGGTGCAGGTGGTATCGAAGCTGGTTTCAGCTATCGATCGTTCTGGTTTGATTGCAGGTACAGGACAGCAGCAGGCGATGCTCTGCCAGTGGTGCGAGAGCACCCATCATGCAGTGGAAGACTGCCAGGCGATGAAGGAATTGACCACACCCCAGGAGCAAGTGAACTTCATCAACGATGTCAGGCGCAATGACCCCTACAGTAACACCTACAATGAGGGGTGGCGCCAGCATCCCAACTTCTCCTGGGGTGGGGCAAATTCCAGACCACCAGTCCCCCAGGGACCACCGAGCTTCCAGAGGCCACCATATCAGCCCAGACAGGGGCAATTCCAGCAGCAGCAGTCTCTCTACCAGCCCATGCAGGGGCATGTTGCTCCATCCCAGCCGCGACCTTTCCAGCAGCCAGGTGCAGCCCCTGCCGCCCTAGTGCAGAATGATCAGATGGCTGAACTGCGGGAATTGGTGGGTTCTCTCGCCAGTTCTAGTGCTCAAAAATTTAACACCATCGAGCAGTTCATGGAAAAGGCATCGGGTAAATTCCTAGCTCTTGAAGCTGGCCAGAGGAACACACAGGCTGTCTTGCAGGATATCCAAACCCAGCTGGGGAGTGTGGCTCAAGCAGTGGCACAAAGGGCTACTGGTACCTTGCCCGGTCAGACCATTCCTCATCGTCAAAACCCGAATGAGCACTGCAATGCCATCATGACCAGGAGTGGCAAGATGACTGTTGATCCACCTGCTCGGGCACAAGAGAGAGAGGCCCCTGCCTCGGCATCTCCAGCAGCTGAAGAAGAAGCAGAGAAGGAGGTTGAGGTGCCTGCACCTAAACCGCAACCAGTAGTGAAGGAGTATATCCCTAAACTCCCCTTCCCTACTCGGTTGCACAAAGACAGGCTGGAGGCAGAGTTCGAGAACTTCATGGCCATGCTTAGGAAGCTGAATGTCCAAGTACCTTTCCTAGAGGCACTATCTCAAATGCCTAAGTATGCGAAGTTCCTGAAGGATCTTCTCTCAAAGAAGGAGAAGCTGAGCGAGCTGGCCACTGTGGAGCTCAGCGAGGAGTGCTCGGCCATTCTGCAGAACAAGCTTCTACAGAAACAGAAGGACCCAGGTAGTTTTACTATCCCGTGCTCTATAGAAAATTTGCATGTAGAGAGGTCCTTGGCGGATTTAGGTGCTAGTATCAATGTTATGCCATATAAACTGTTTAAGAAACTAGGCCTAGGTGAACCCCGTGCTACTAGGATGAGCCTTCAATTAGATGACCGATCTGTAGTGCATCCTAGGGGCATAGTGGAAGACCTTCTGGTTAAGGTTGGCAAATTCAATTATCCTGTTGATTTTGTGATTTTGGACATAAATGAGGATGTGGATGTGCCATTGATACTGGGAAGGTCTTTCCTGGCCACCGCCAAGGCCCTCATAGATGTGCATGATGGGACCTTAGTTTTGAGGGATGGTGAGGAGCAAATAGCGTTTTCAATTTCTAATACTCGGCCTGCTTCGTCACCTCTGCATGCTGTATCTCACCAGGAGCACGAGTCTGTCGTGTATCCTTCTGTGTTGCCTATTTTGCAGGATCCGCCTTCCATACCTTCGCCGCCACTCCCGTCCACTCCGTCATCGAAGGAACAGATTAAGGTGGAGTGGCGGCCAAAACAGCAGGCAACTAAGCCTGCTCGAAAGAAGGCCGGAGACCACTATGAGCTTGTCCCGCCCCCACCTTGGCCATCCGAGTATTCACTCGCTTGCATCCTGCCGGATGGCCAAGTTGAGTTGGCAAATGCTAGTGGCCACATTCGGCGTGTGCATGGCCACCATTTGA